GAGCTGTTCCTCAGGGGGCCTGGCCTGCAGTTCCAGTGCTGACTCTGCCACCTTCTCTCTCCTTGCCAGTCTGCCATGTCCAAGAACTGTGTGAAGCTCCTCTGTGAAGATCCCGTTTTTGCAGAATATATCAAATGTATTCTGATGGATGAAAGGACCTTTCTTAACAACAACATTGTCTACACCTTTCTGACACATTTTCTCCTCAAGGTATGTGGTCTTTCAGCAGTAATTATTACTCCAAGGAATGCAGGCACTGATGCTGCTTCCTTTTTAATTTTTGTTTTCACAGTTACAATTTTTTTGTAGCTTTAAAGAAAATACTTTGTTTCCACAGGTGCAAGGGCAGGTATTTTCTGAAGCAAACTGTGCCAACTTAATCAACACTCTAATTACAAACCTAATAAATCAGTATCAAAGCCTAGAATCTGACTTCAGCAACCAGAGAGTTGAAATTTCCAAAGCAAGCTCTACATTAAACGGGGTGAGTCTTTTTAAGGAACATGAGCAGCTCATTTCCTACAGAAACTCCTCAGTGCCCTGTGCCAGGTGTTGGGCACTCCCTGCCCCAGCTGAGCTCCTGGAGGGGCCATGGGAAGTTGGGAATATTAACCTGACTGTGGGGAGCAAAGTGTTATCAGCTGCAGGAGCATTGATGGTAGGAGTGCTGTGACCCAGCAGGGTTCTGTGTCTCCTGGCATTGTCACCTCCAGGACAGAGAGTGTTCAGGTCAGCAGATAGTGAGTGGGGAATGTCAGTGGTGTGAGTAGCTCCAGGATGGGATCTTTGGGCTGCTCAGAACATGAACAGCATCTCCTTCTTGCACAGTCTCTGTGTGCAAGATTCAGCAAACAGCAGTCTGAAATAAGCCTGAAGTTTGTCTCTCTACTTCCAGGACCTCCGAGCACTCGCCTTGCTGCTTTCGGTGCACACTCCCAAACAGCTCAACTCGGCCCTGATCCCAACTTTACAAGAGCTTTTAAACAAATGTAGAGCTTGCCAGCAACAGAGGAACTCATTACAAGAGCAAGAAGCCAAAGAAAGAAAAACTAAAGGTTTGGTGTTGCACTAATGAGCCTTTTATCTAATTAATGTAGTAGGTTATTTTGTCCCTGCAGGGTGGGCTCCAAATCCCAGTAGTACACAAAAATCCCATTTTATCGTGGAGCTAGTTTGTGACTTGCAGGAGGAAGCGAGTGTTTGTTGCATGCTGTGTGTGAAGGCAGGGGCCTGCTCTGAGCGCTGCCCTGTCCCCGCAGATGACGAGGGAGCCACGCCGGTGAAGCGGCGGCGCGTGAGCAGCGACGAGGAGCACGCCGTGGACGTGGGCGACGCCAAGGGCGATTCCCGCGAGGCGCTGACCCCCAGCAGCGCCTCGGACAACGAGACCAGGGACTCGTCCATCATCGACCCGGGCACGGAGCAGGAGCCGCCCTCCCCCGAGAGCGGCTCCCTCAAGGAGTACAGGCTGGAGGCGCCCGAGGAGCAGCCGGGCCTCGCCAAGTTCGAGGAGTGCAAGGAGTTCAAGGAGCTGCAGGCTTCCAAGGACGCCGCGGGGGCCGAGGAGGACTCGGAGTTCCCCTCCACGTCCATCTCGGCGGTTTTATCCGACCTCGCAGACTTGCGGAGCTGCGATGGCCAAGCCTTACCATCCCAGGACCCCGAAACGAATTTATCAATCAGTTGTGGCCATTCCAGAGGACTTTTTAGTCACATGCAGCAGCATGACATTTTAGACATCCTGTGCAGGACCATTGAGTCTACGATTCACGTGGTCACACGGATATCCGGGAAAGGAAACCAAGCTGCTTCTTGACATTAGATGGAGCATGTCTGCTTTTAAGTCTTTTTTTTTTTAATTTTTAATCCTTCTTCCCCCAAAAAATGCTGTTTGTATAAGTTTTGCTTATTTCTGTTTTGTGCTTCAGTTTGTCCAGTGCTCTCTGCTTGAATGGCAAGATAGATTTATATGCTTAATTCTTGGTCAGGCAGAACTCAAGATTATTTTTTTTAAATTTTATTTTATTTTGCATCTACCGTACACTTTCTTAAAGGGCAATCAGATAATGGCTATGTTTTATGTAATTAAGAGTTCACTGTAGTGGCTTTCATTTAATATGGCTGTCTGGGAGACAGGGCCTCCTGGCCCTGTATGATGTAATTTAAACTTATGGCATTTTTACTGTGTATAATATGGTGTCCTCTGTGCCAGTTTTGTACCTTATAATCGAGGCAGATTGCCTCAGATCGCTGTGGTTCTTATTATCAAAATTAAGTTTACTTGTATACTAAACAACCACAAGAAATTTGATTCTGTAAAGAATCCTCTTTAGCTGTGGCCTGGCAGTATATATATGGTGCTTTATTTAACAGAATACCTGTGGAGGAAATAAAGCACACTTGATGTAAAATTAATTGTTTTATTTTTATTGACATGATCAATTGCTATTCTGTGCACTTCATTAAACTGATTGTGATGACTTTTCATTGGTTTATAATATGTTGCTTCAGTCTTTGGATTTCTCAGCAAAGAACTTCATAAGTGACACAGAGCAGAGAGAAATGCTGGTCAGAGGTTCAGTCTGATGTAGATTTTGGTGCTTGTGTTGGAACCTGAAGTGCTGTCAAAGCCAGGGGAACTTGGCATCTCATTTCCCTTCGTTTAACATCTCTTACAAAATTTTTCTCCTGCACCATTTACAGACTTCCTTTCTTTTTTCCCTCTGCTCTCTCTGGCTGTGCCCCTCACTTTTTGACAGCTTCTGCACCCCTGGAATGACTTTATCATCCCTCCCATTACACTTCTCCCTGTTATTTCTGAGTAATACCAGTTTCCTATGTGACCTTTTGGACTGTCAATGCTACTGGTTCCAATATCTGATTAAACTCCATTTTCAGCTTCATTTTCCAGTTGCTCAGCTCATTTGTTTTTCTATTGTCTTCATCTGCCTTGGTCTTTTCTCTTCTGAATTCTTTCATTCCATCTACCCTTCACTGCAGTTTTGCATCACCTGCTTCTCCTGGAGTTGTGATGCTCTTGCTCCCTTTGAATTTGCTCTCATTGGTTTCAATGTTCTGTAAATAATTTGTCTTCAAAGTTTGCAAATTTATATTCCTGTTTATTTAGCATTTTTGTCCTGCATTTACAGCCACTGCTGACACTGGTAAGTGCTTAAGATTGTATCCTCATTATTCAGACATTAAATAACTACAGTTTTTTTTCTCTTTTAGGAGTAATTTTATTACTTTTTCTGATTAGCTTTCCCCAGATTGTTACTCCACAGAAATCATCAACAGCTCCTTGTCAAAACTTCCACAATCAGAATTTTTCTGTCAAGGAAACATTGGCCTATGGATGAAAAGCTGAGCTGCAGCAGCTGTTGGAACCCCTTTGGGTGAGTAGTCTTCTTAATTAATCAGCCTTATTTATTAACACTGTGCAGTTGGGATGGTGTCTGAGCTGCTGCTTTATTTCATAAAGGAATACAAATACTGCACCATTAATCATGTCATGATTATTCATATTGCTCTTCCCTTACCTCCTAATTTCCCCCTTGAGTATTCCTGCAATTTTTACAAAGAATTTTTTTGCAGTAGAGTTTTTTGGACAGAAGTCAGCAAAATACCTGCACAAAGGTATTTTCATTTTCCAGAGCCTGTTTCCAGGAGTTTGTCCTCTGTCTCCCTCACCTTCTGTGCTCTGTAAGTCATTATTTCTGCCATTCTGTTCTCCTTCCCTCACTTTAAATCAGTTTTCTGGTATTTTTCCACCTTTAAAACTTTAAATCAGTTTTCTGGTTTGTATTTTTCCACCTTTAAAAGTGTTCCCTTATCCTAAAAGTGTTAACCTTTACTTTGAAAGCCCTTTAACCCTATACCCTTTTATCTTCCACTGGTTTCCTCAGTCTCTTAGAAGTTTTGATTTGCTCCCAGGTTTTATCCCATTTCTCATTTATTATTACTTATTTCCACCTCCCATTTAACCCCTTCAAAATTAAGCTTTTAAATCCATGTTATTCCCTCTGTTACAGCCTCTCCCGTGGCACCTGAAGTGCTGAGATCTGTGAAGAATTTTGGCCATCATCCTTCAAACCATGTCTTTCCCATTGGCCTGGCTTTCTCTTTGCCTTTCTCACAGAATTACCATCTAACATTTTGAATTGGGAAGTCCAGGAGAAATTGTAGCACCAGTTTTGGAGGGGCAGGGAGCTGCTCCTCATTTCCCTGGGTTTGGCAGCCTCACAGCTGGAGCAGGGACTGCAACACTGCAAGCACAAGTAAGTCCTGTCTCTTTTATCTCTTTTAACACCAGTGACTGGCAGTTGTTCCAGTTGTTCATACAGTGAGGGCAGGGAGTCAGGAAAAGCAGGGGATTTCAGCCATGAGGAACACAATTCCCAGAGAGTATTGGGGTTTCACTGTTTGAAGGAACTTGGAACTGCACAGAACCACTTCTTCTCAAGGATTAAATCGTAGCAGTAGCTCTTCAACCATCCACCCATGCACCTGCTGAAGCCTGAGCTGTCTTAGGCCTTCATTTCCCTTTGTCAACCCCTCCCTGAATCGTTTCTGCATTGAAAACATCAGGCTTTTCTTCCTTAAATACTGAGGGGGGGAAAGGCAATTAAATGTGGAGCATTCAGGAACAGATGCTAGAATAGAACATTGCTCAGGAGGCTGCTCCCCACCCAGCACCTGGACACTGCAGGCAGCAGCCAGGGAGGGCTCTGTGCCTCTCCTGTCACTGTGGGGACTTTGTCCTTGCCACTGCCACAGAGCTCACCTCAGTTCACAGGGGTTAACAACTGACTGCAAACCTTTCAGGAGAACCTGGCCTCTAGCAGGGAGCAGCACCTCTGTCTCCTCAGGATGATGGAAGCTTTTTGGGTGGTAAGGCTGCCATGTGTTGGCATGCTGTGAAAATAAAATATACAGGACTTAACTTCTAAGAAACTTACTTAGTGTGGCAGTTTCAGTTTATGGAGAAAATCAAGTTGATGTAAAGTCATATTTTTATTGAGCCAAGCACGTTTTCCAAAAGCAGCCTGCCCTATTGTGGTCAAATTGTTTCAGATTGCATATTTCATTTGTACACTTTATTTAAAAAGCATTTGAGAACTAAGTCATCCTTGCTCACCTCGAGGTGGTTTAATTAGGAATTACAATTTGTTCCTGTCCAAATTCTCTTTACAGTTGTACTCTTTGAGGTACAGCATTGCAGAGGGCTGTGAATCATTTCATGGAAGGTTTTACAGAACTGCAGAAAGAAAGCACTACTACTGTTTGTTTCTTCCTAAATAAATGGCACACCGAGGTCAAGTAAGGGAGTACAGTGCATGCAGACCTAATAATTACATGACATTGCTAATTATCTTTCCTAACACTGCAGCTGCAAACAGTCTGCAGTTAAAAGCATCTACAAGTATTCCACAAAGGCTGTAAATGGATCAGCAGTTTTGTAATCCCTTTCAGCTCACCTCTGCTGGGAACTCCATCTCCTACAGGGGTTTAATTTTGCCACTTGATCCACTGAATATTAAGGAACTGGAAATCTTCCTATTGATGGTGTAGCTCACCTACCTCTGAGGGCAGGGCTCACTGCAACTGAATCATCATCACTCTGAAGTCCCAGGCAAGCAGACCAGAGATCACTGTCCCCAGGTAAAGCTGTGGATACACACAGTCTGACTTGCCTCTCATTCCCTAAAAACCCATAAATAGTGCTTAAACTATGTACAGTCTCATAGAAGTGGGTCTTTATTCTTCCCACAAATAAATTATATATTTTTTCTTTAGAAAACCAAATGTTAACAAAGTATAAAAAGTAATGCCCTAACAAAACTACAGTGCTGTCATCATTCCATGTTGTCTTTTGATTGCTGCAGTAAAATATGGATTTCTTCAAAATATTGCTTCTTCCAGCATTGTCTTGTACTCTCTTCGTGGGAGACAGGAACCCCTTTGCATTCCAGCTCCAGTTCTGACTGAGCAGCCAGCTCCTGGAAGTTCAAGGCCACAGTTGCATAATGTTCTGAGGGAAGAGAAGAGGACCCTTCAGTGAGGTGCTTTTAAAGAAAGGCAGCTGTTGGTGCTGACCCCCTCTGCTCTGCCTGCCTCAGCCCCTTTCACAAGGACAGGACCAAGGGAGTGTCCAGCCAAGGCTGGTCCCTGCCAGGATTGCTTCTTCTCCCTGCAAAGGAGCCCTGCAACATCAGAGATCTGTGGAAAAACTCACCATCAGGCCAGCTCCTACACCGCCACTTGAGGACAATTCTTTGGCTTGGGACCTGTGGAAGAGAAGTTCTCCTTGTTAGCACCTGAGAGAATTCCCATTACAGTTCTCCCTGAAATAGGGGCAGAGGAGCAGCATCTTATGGAATACTGGAGCCATGCATGTAAACAAGAGCAAGATTTTTGAAATCTGGGTCAGGTTTTTGAAATAAAAAAAATGTTTTCATGGAGCTCTCAGCGTGCTGCATTCCACTGTTCTGTTTTTGCTGTGGGAAAAGACCAGGACTCACTGGGTACTGCACATAAAACACTGATTTTCTTGCAGACTTGGAAATAAAGGACAAGACCAGGTTTCCCCACTGAAATTTTAAAGTGTGACTGAATGATTGTGTTACACAACCCAGCCTGGCCCAGTACACAAGTTGGGCACTCCTGCAGATGAAAATGGGTTTTAGGACATTTCAAAAATGCAGCTGAGCTCTAATTACCAGGTTTTTCCCTTCTATTTGCACCAGCATTCAGTTGGGACGGGGTAACACTTGCCCTGAATAGAACAGAGAGCATCTCCCCAGTTAAAAAGGGACAGGGATTTGGCAGATAAACCTTAAACCTTTCTCCCTGCTCTCAGTTACAAAGGATTGTGCTGGGTTTTCTGCTCCCCATGCAGGTCCTTGGCTGTGGTCAGTCCCTGCTCTTTGGCTGAGACAGAAAAACCACACAACAAACGACCAACTGTGGGACTGAAATACTCACTAGAGAGGCTGAAATTCACAAATTTGTGCTGCTTTTTTAGAAGCCACCCCCCCCCCATTTTTAAAGTAGAGCAGGAGCTTTTTACCAGTTCTGTATATTCACCGCTGACACAGCCCTCAAACATCTGGAGTTTGCCTCCCTTCTCTGCTTCAATCACAGCTGGGCACTTGGAGAACTTCTGTACCAACTAACAAAAAAGAAAAACACAAAATGCACCATGCTGGGAGACAAGGGAGGGGAGCTGCAGGAATGAACTGAACCTGATCATGGCTGGGGCCAGTGAGGTGCCACAGTGAGAATGCTCATGCTGAGAAAGTTGCCTGGTGAATACAGAGCAGCCCAGGCTCTGCCCCAGCACATCCACACAAGGGCTGCTCCCAGACTGGGAAATGAGGGAAGTGGAGCAGCAGCTTTAGCAGGTGCAGAAGGGCTGCAAAGAGCCATTTCTGTTTCCCAGAGGTGGCCCTGGGGTTGTAATTTAAAGTTCTCCAATACCAGCCTTCCTTGTTTGAAGGACACAAAGCCAAAATGAGTGATTGTGTGTTTCATACCCTATAAGCAACAGTACTGTCACCTCCAGTAATTAATCTAATTAAGCTGTGGGTAGCAGCAGTGCCATTACTGAGCCCTTCAGGGGCCTCAACACCGGCATCAAAGAGCAAAGCTTTTGTTAAGGACAGCACAAGGAAGCTGCACCCCAACACCATAACAATGCAGCTTCACTTTGTTATGGGAACAGCTGGCAAAAAAACTCCTAAGGCAGCCTAATAAACTCTCATCAAATGGAATTTGTACTTAACACTGTGAAGTGTTCATTATTTACACAACTCTTCAGCAGCATCAACAGCCACATTCAGTTAAAATGCCTCCTGAAAGTATCACTTACTTCCTTCTTTGTGAAGATGCTGTAAAGTTCATCAGCTGGAGAGTTGAACACTTCCCTCATATGTATCCTCACTGTTGGAATTTTTACTCCAACCATATCCAGAGACTGTGGTGTAACAGAGTCCTGCAAAGCAAAAAAACATTCCCAGGAATAAGTGCCAGATCTTGACCCTTAAAAGTGCAGGCAGGGCAAGGGGGTTGTCCTGCAGCTTCTCTAACACAAGTATGAGCACATGGCAGCTGTACACTGCATTTCTGCATTTCCTCAGCAGTGCTGTCACTCAGGACTCAGCTCAGTGGACACCTGAAGCCAACAGACCTGCACAGTGCTCCCACTTGGTTTTCGCTCCATGGCCAGCTCCTGCCCAACAGCAGCTTTGGTTGGCAGGATCATTCCCAAGGTGAACTCTGCAATGAAGAAGAGCAGTTTTCAGTGTGAAACTGAGCTGTTCAACCCCCCCTGGCATTCAGATACTCAGTGAAGATCACCAAAACTCTGGAGAATGGGTAAAACTGGGCAGGACATAAAACTCAATCCAGTTTTCCCAGCTGACTCTTAAGCTTCCATCAGGAACAGACCTAGCAGCAATTTCCTTCAAAAGGCTTTTCCAAGTTACCTGACCCCAAATCAGAAACATCTGCACAGACTTCTGGCAGCACAGCAGATGTTCAGCTCAAAGAGGAATAACCCAAAGAAATTCTTCTAAGTGTGGCAGAAGGCTGGAGTGAAACTCAGTACAGAATGAGGCTCCTGCTCTTTGAGATTCCAGAGTTAAAGAATCTTTGGATACCCTAAAAACCATACATAGTAATTTCTCAAGCCAAAAACTGGTGGATCCAACTTGGGAAAATTACACAGCATTTAACAAAAAAACCAACAAAAAAAAGAGGCAATGAGGCTCCTGCTCTTTGAGATTCCAGACTTAAAGAATCTTTGGATACCCTAAAAATCATACATAGTAATTTCTCAAGCCAAAACATTACACAGCATTTAACAAAAAACCCAAAAAAACAACAACAACAAAAAAAGGTAATAATTTAACAAAGTATTTCACAATCAGAGATGTACCTAATAACAATTTGACTACAAGCTGTAAATGCATCAGTTTTTTGAGCATACTTTCCTGGACACAGTTGTCATTCAAAAAAAAAATACTCCAGTTCAAAAAACAGAAAGGCAAATTTAAATTTGGTTCACCTTTGGTTTAGAAGTGAAAATTTATAAATGTAGTAAGTTTAGGATAATAAAACCTTAGAATCTCAAATGATAATGGCAAGCTTAAAGATGAGCAGAGAATGAATTTGTAAAGAACAGAAATTAAGACAGCATCTTAGAAACTCTAGAAAATAACTAATTTAATTAACAACTAAAACAAAGGGACACAAAAATAAGGCAGCAGTTCATGCAAGGAAGGCAGTTTTTCTAAATTAGACAACAAAAAATCCTCATATTGGCCAGTCCAAGCAGGGCCAAGCTGAGCCCTGGCAGGGCCTGTGTGACCCAGCCCAGCCTCAGCCACTGCAGAACCCTCTGCCACCTCTAGAGCAGAAAGATCCTGAGTGCCAGGACTAACTTAACCCAGCTGAGCTGGTGACAATCAAAGATCACAGCAGTACAAAGCCAGGGATCTGCACTGCCTGAGCAAGCAGTTCAGGAGAGGCACTGCACAGGAGCTCTCCCAGGGTGCTGGTGAGTTCACCTGGTTCAGTTTACCTGTTTTAAGTGCTTTCAGGTAATCCCTCAGCGCCTCTCTGACTTTGGTGGTTCCTTCAGTTCTCATCAGGTCCTTCAGAACATCACCTTCCCCTTTCTTCTTGCTAACATTTATCTAGAAACAGAAAAATGGCAGCATTTATGAGGCCCCAGACATGAGCCTTTGGGATCTGGCAACAAAGGAAAGCATTTGGGCTTTCTTTACTATGCTCAGAGGACAGCTGCAATGTCAAATTCAGGATCTTGGGGTAGCCCACCTTTGCTAAAAATAAGTCCTCTTAAGACATAAATAAATGTAGTATCTGCACTCAGTCTGGTTCATCAAACATAGCCAAGAGAGGCTGAAGGATCTGTGGAAGCCCAGTATCCACCATGATCCAGTTAACACAGAGATTCCCCAAGGTCTTAGGGCTGGGAGTGGTTTGCTGTGTTGGTTTGGGTTTTTTTTTAAGACTACAAGCAGAGTTCTTCTCAAATTTGTAGTTAAAATATTATCACAATAATTAGCAAAGCAAACTGCACATTCCTCATTGGTAAATCTGAGAACAGAATAAGGCATTATTCCAAGTATAATAAACAAAAGCATGAAATAAACTATCCACATAGCAATCACCCCACTTAGTAACAGGATAAATCAAAATATGATGCCTAGATGTTGATTAACTTCATGTAAGAACTGTGGACCTATACAGCCATAGCAGTGTTGCACACCTACCTCTGTATCATCTACCTCATTTTCTTCTGACAGGTTAGGAATTTCAACAGATCCCTTATGTTTCTCACCAGACTCTTTCACTGTACCTGTATTAACATAACGAATTCTTAAATGCATCATTAAAAACTATTTCCCCCACAGCAAGAGTTTTACACTTGGAACTCATTTGTACAAAGGTGTTACCTGAAGGGAGCTGCCTCAAGGCTGGTTTAGAGGAACTGAACACAAGCTGAGCCTCTCCTGGGAGCTGTGTTCCCATCCAGGTGCACAGGGGATGGACAGGGACCCAGCTGTCACCTGCACTGTCACCTGCTGTGACAGCCTTTACAGCCTGTGCCTCTAAGGGTGGACAGGGGAAAATCATCTCCTTGTCCCCTGAATGTCTCTGCTCTGCATTCAGAAGCTCCCTGGAGTGCTGACCTCGCCCTCTTTAGTGCTGTGAAAGCTCCCAGCATGCAGGCATGTCACCAGGAAACACACGTGTGTATAATGGAGAAGGATACAATTGACATTTTTTAAAACAGGAACTCCAGGTGCACACTCAGAGCCCTTGATGTAACTTTTAACCACTTTGCAATGACTGCACTCTGCAGAAAGAGTCAGCAAGGACAGGAATTCTGCCCCACTTCTGATCCTTCGGGGCCAAGGAGCCCCATGCTCTGCTCAGATTCCAAGGGAAAGATTGAATTTAAGGTCTGAGGCTTTTTTATTGCACTGAAGACTCTTCCCCTTGGCCTTGCAAAAGTGCTTTGTTATTTAAATTAACTCACTAATTAGATGACGGTAAAATCTCTTCAGAAAGCTCAGTGTCAGAACATTGAAAATCCAACAAGGTGCTTCATCAGCAAAACTCCAATTCCAGCAGCCCGGGGCTGAGCACCACTGCACAAGGAGAATTATCAGGGAGGCACATGCAGAATTTCTGGGGACTCTCACTTTCACAGGAGCCACCTGGGTTCCCCTGCTCCTGCCCATCACTCTCATTAGTTTAATTACTTCCCAGGAACCCAACTGGTCCAGATCCCAGAGAGAGACTCCAATAAAAGCCCAGGTGGTTCCTGGCATGGAGGGGAGTGAAGAGCTGTAGTGCCAAAGTGCAAAGATCCCTCCCCACTCGGGTCTGAGGCAAGAGGGATTGCACAACACACCAAGTTGTTAATCCACAACCACACAGCGACAGCAGAACGAGACCCCAGAGCCTCCCAGGAGAAGCTGGCACTCAGGAAAGCCCTGGGAACTGGGAAATGCCATCCCTGAACACTGCTGGGCCCACAGAGCCACCTCAGTGTGCTCTCCCCTGCCCTCCACCAGCACAGGAAAACCACACAGCGTGGTCTCTGCAGACAATAAAACCCAGCTCATTTTTGGCTCCTCCCCAGGAAGGAAGTGCAGCGAGCAGGAAGGAGTTTTGGGGAGCAAAACTCAAACCTGACCTCAGTCAGCCAATGCTAGCAGCAGTGTTCACAACTCCTGAAATAAAGTTTCACAGTGCCAGTGTCTGTGCTGGGCAGCAAAGTCCAAAAAGTGAACAAACAGAGCTGGTGGCTCCACGTGACACAGGCACAACATTGGTGCAGCTCTGCCTTTTCACTACCACTGTAATGGAAACAAAGCTTTACTGCCTTTTGATCAATCAGTCAAATTATGTGGTGGAATTGCACTGGAATCCAATAACAGACCTGAAAATAAATTATTTTTTGGTTTCCTGCCAGTCCAGTGTGAAGCACACATCTCAGAAAGACCCAGCTATAGCACACCGTTCAAATACCTGCTCTAAAAAGACAAACATGTTTTCACAAAGCTGGCACCACAATGTGGAATGATCCATTAAAATCCTCATCACATCCTCTAAAAAATGGTAGAGCAGCCATTTTTCTCAATTTTAGTGCCATTAAGTACACCCAGTTCCTCACTTTCTTGTTTCTCTCTTACCTAAACTGCCAAGCACAATGTTTTTCCTACCCTGGACTTTCCAAACTTTTATGATTTGTCCTTATATTCCCACCTTTTAATCAAATCTTGAAGTCCTAGTTATCCTTGAAGACTTGTAGAACTAATTACAGTTTTTTAGTTCAATCTGAACTCTCACTTCTAATTTAGAGCCTTCAAAATACACAACATGATGGCTATCACAAAAAAAAAAAATCATTAGCCTCTGGGCTGTGGGGTTTTTTTTTAGACTTTCCTGTAGTAGCCAACTCACTAGAAATGAAGTTCTCAAAGCCACGATTCACTCAGCACAGCAGAGCAGCCAGCACAGGTCAGAGCTGTCTCTGAACACTGACCAGCATAAACACCTTGGAGAGAAACTGTTTGGAGAGAACTTACACAGAAATACAAACAAAACACTGTCTGCCTGCTTCTAACTTTATACTCTGAAATAAACCACACAAAGCTCAGCTAACCTCTGTTTAAAGCTTAAAGTGATTTTAGCTGAACTTTTAGAAGTCAAAAAACTGATTACAATATTTTATCTACACTGATTTAAACTGCACAAGAGTCTAATATTTGCCTTGCTCTCTATTAACATTTACACCACAATTCTAAGAGTGGTCTCAGTCTATAACACACTGGGAACACATAAAACTACCTAAAACAAACAACAGTACTCAGCTGAAAATCCCCTCTCACTGTGGGTGCAGACTTCAATCCCAGATCTGTCCTGGTCTCAGCAATATTCCAGTCAGGCCAGGGCTGAGGAATAAGGGCAGTATTGGGGAAGCACAGCCTGTCACCTGGCACTACAATATCCAGGGACAATTTCCTGTGCAGGCTCATCCCATCAGCTGCTCCTGCTTCCTACTCCAGTGCCAGACACGGGCCACAATTTGCTGTCAAGTTTTAGGCATTTAATAAACGGGAAGAATTCCTTGGCATCACCAAAAGCCAATCTGCAAACAAAGAACTTGGCTTTTTTTGGCATGGGACAAGCACAGCAGAGGGCAACTCCAAGAGCTGGAATTGCAAACGGATATGGCACAAAAAAAAACAAACAACAAAAAAACCCCACACACCCCCAGTACCCCAATAATCAAGAACTATTTCTGTTTGCCACTGAAGAGTTTTATCCTCCTGTAATAGGTAACCCCAATGTGAACTGCAGCCCGTTTTTGGGCACAGCTGTGATGTGACATCTCCTGCGTTTTCCTGCTCTCCGGAGGCACGGAGAGCACACAGCTGTCATTTGGGAACCCAAGCAGCCCCGGCAGGCTGCTGTCAATGCCACCACAATGCAGCATTCACTTCTCGCAAAGCAAAGCAAAGCAAAGCAAACCCCTGCCGACAGACCGGGCACGCAGTGCTGGGGAATAGGCGGTGGGAAAAGCCTGGGCGAAGGGGAAGCCAAGCTCGGGTTTCAAGGTTATTTAGGAACACGCAGTTATCCGCCCGGCCCCGCGATCCCCGCAGCCCCGGACTCGGAGTGCCCGCGTTCTGCCCACCGAGGGGCGGCTGCTCTGCAGCGGCTCGGCCGCCCCGGGCAGCAGGAGCGGCACGGAGCTCCGAGCCCCGCAAGCCCCCGGAGCCCCCCGTACCTTTCCAGCTGAGGCGCAGGTTCCACTCGTAGAAGAAGATGAGTTTCCCCTTGCGGCTGTTGCAGGACGCTTCGCCCTCCACGTGTTTGAGGTCGCCGATCTCGCAGCGCCCGGCCTCGCCCTCCACCACCAGCCCCTCCAGCACCTCCTTCAGCTTCCTCTTGGACCAGCTGGTCGCGTCCCGCTCCGTCCTGCCGCGGGAGCGGCGGGGTCAGCACCCATTGCCCCAGCCCTTCCCCAGCCCTTTTCCCGCCCGGCGCTCACCAGTGCCAGTTGTTCACGTTGGTGGCGTCCGCCCGCTCCTCCACGATCCAGCGCGGGTCCCCCTGGCCCCACTTGGCCATGGCGCTGCCGCGGCGCCGCCTCCGCCGCTCCCCCCGCTCCTGCCGCCCGCTTCCGCCGGCGCCGCCAGAAGGTGCCAGAAACTTCCCCGCCCCGCCGGGGAGGAGGAGGAGGAAGGCGAGGCCCGGCCCTGCCCTTCCTCCCGGCGCGGAGGGCGGAGGGAGCGGGGCCGGCGGCGCACGGAGCCGCTGCTGCTCCGGGGCTGGCGGCCGCTCGCTCCTGCGCCCGGGAAAAGCCGCTCCTTCGGGGCTGCTCCCGCTCCGGGGGAAGGCACCGCCTAGCTGGGAAAGAGGAGAGAGGGAAAAAAAAAACAAAAAACCAATCAAGCAAAAATGGAGGAAACCCGGAGAATTAGAAAACAGCCTCTCGTTTTCAGACGCTGCGGCGGGCGCTTCTGCGCAAAAGGACAGAAGAATTGATGTCCCACAATGACTCGATCGGAAGCAATGACAAGGCAGCGCCTCTGGAATCGGGTTTATTGTCTTGCCCGTTTGACACGTGCCAGAAGAAATTAAATACACAGTGAGACAGCGCTGCTGCTGGGGAAGCAGCCCTGCGGCACAGCACTGCAGCCCTTCCCGCATATTGCCTGTTGTCTTACTTATCCATCCTTAAAACAGCAACAGAGTTAAAAACTGGATCACATTCCCATATTCTTATTGCTCATTTAATTCTGAGCTGTTCCAATGAGTCTCATTGTGGTTTTTCTAAAAATGTTCTTCATCGAGTGTTCTTATCAGAGAGATACATCATCACCAAACTCATCGTTTTCAGACTCATCATCTCCGGGATCATCTTCTCTGGGATCTATGTCCAAAATCACTGCCACCTCTGAAAATTTTACTCCTTTCAGTTCTTTCTCAGGGGCAGGCAGTGTGGGATGAGGTGTTAAGGAAAGAGCTGGCTTCTGGTTTGTGTCTGTTGCAAAGGAGTCCTGCAAAAAAGCGTAACACAGGTTAGGCAGAAAGCTACAAATGCTTGAGTGTGAGAAATTATGAACAGTGGGAATCATAACGTTGTGAGCCCTTTACTGTTCACATTCCATAAATACAGAAGAGAATCATCACTTCTGCTCCTTCTAGGCATGGACAAACAGCCCTTATCTTAAGATTTTTTTAGAATCATGGAATGGTTTGGGGTGGAAGGGACCATAAGGGATTGTCCAGCCCCCTGCCACAGGCAGGGACACGTTGCACTAGACCAGGTTGCTCCAAACCCTGTCCAGCCTGGCCTTGGACACTCCCAGGGATTACTTCACAATATTTTTTTTTGTTTTAGTTCCATCAGATTAGCTTTTTTGATAATTCCTTCAGTTATTTGGTGAATAACAATAAAATACTTTCCACTCCATGCTTTGCAGTCAAAAAGCTCATTACCTGTTCTGTTGTGAATCTTGCTGTGGGCTGGGCCTCCACTTTTTTACTTTCAGCAGCTTTTTCAGGTGCTCCATTTTCCTCACTTTCACCCTTGTAATCCATCAGCACTGTCTCCAGGTAATTGAGTTTTTCAGGGGCCTGAATTTCATCTTTTTCAGCATCATCTCCTCTGGTGCCTTCCAGGTTGTCAAATGACATCATCTCAGTTCTCCTAAGAGAGGTCAGAGAATTCATAGCACCATAGACAAAAATCTCAGCCTCTCTACAACCAAGAGCAGCGTGTGCACTGATCTCAAAATTAGTGGGATTGTACCCAGGGGAATTAAGTAGCTTCTTGTATCCTGAGGGGTCTTTTCTGCATTGGGATGAACAGTTTGCTAAAGAGTAAGTAGGAATTTGCCTTTGATACAAGATTAAAAGGTATTAACTTCCTTCAAGTGTAGAGATTTTTAACTTGTCATTTTAAGGGTCCTTAAAAATGGGCCTATAGCCTAGTGGGTGATCCATGGAAAATCCTATGGTACAAAATAAACTAGAACCACAGTTTTTATATGCAGTTTTTTATAAATTTGTGATTGCAGCAGTCTACTTACCCATTATTCACATGCTCTAGTTTCTCTAAGCTTTTCAGACTTCCATTTTTGTCATCTGCCCATGGGTTATCAATTCCATCCACAATATCAACTTTCTTAACCAAATCCTGTTTCCCATACTTTCTGAAAATAATACATTAAAATAATAATAAATTATTTTTGAAGATTGGCTTTACAGCTGTTTTAGAAATAGAAGATGAATTCTTTGTGTTATAAGTTTAATGCACAACAGTTATTTTCAGTGTTGTTCTGGGGATTACTTTGGAGTATTTCCTATTTTCCCATAATGGTAGCAGGGTAAATGTTTGCTTCTCTTCTGGAAATTGTTTTCCCCTACCATGTGGCCCTGCTGCCACTGAAGTTAAGCAGCAAAACCTCCCTTGATTTAAGCAGCAAAACCTCCCTTGATTTTGCCATTTATGGGGTTGGAAAAGACTCGTGTGCCCCCCCTCACAGTGAAAATTTCTGCTGCCCACATTTTTCTGTTTCAGAAGTATTTGTTTCTGCTTTTGCTGTGTGACAAACACAAGCAGGAACAACTTCCAGTTGTGTGTGCTGCATCCAGCATAAATCTCGGGCAGTGCTCCCTACAAAAGCCGGTTATTTATCAGACTGACCCTTCATTAAACCCATGAGCTGTGAAGGCGAGCGACGCGTTGAGGACAGCCCTGTGTACCTTTTCCTGTTCAGATCCAGCAGGACGTAGGCCAGGAAGGCGATGCAGGTGGCGGCGAGCAGCACCCCGAGCACGATGGCAGCCGTCAGCTCCGGGGGTGCCGCGGCCGCCAGGGCCTCCGCCACCGCGGCGCTGACGGGTGCCGAGAACACCTCCTGCAGCCCCAGCTCTATGGCACCCCTCTGCTCCCTCAGCTTCCTGCCAGAGAAGGGACAACGTGCATCTGCACCTCACCTTCCTTCTGGCTGCAGGAGCAGCGAAGGAAATACAGAATATCCCTCCCTGGACTGCCAAGACCCTTTCCGAGCATTCGGACTTGTCGTGTCCTTCCTTCAGGAAAAGCTGTTTGCCAGCAACCAGCCCTGGTGCTTGACCTAAAGTGCTGCAGAGCTTGGACACTTGAACAAGATCCACATCACTGACAGGTTACCAAAGAAGTGTAAAAAGTGTAAAATACACCTCAAGTGTGGGGTTGTAATCAACATCCTGCCACTCTGATACTGATATCTATCTATCTATCTATCTATCTATCTATCTATCTATCTATCTATCCATCTATCTCAATATATACATCAGGTCTATATCTATCTGTCTATCTGTAAGGTGTATATGTACCTATATGTATAAAAAATATATATCAGGTCAATATATATTTTAATTCTATTCTTTGCCCATCAGCCTTTTTCTCTCTTAAACTGACTTTTCAATCTAATTTGCACAATGAAACAGCCTTACTCATGTTTTTGGCAAGCTCTGGAAATTAGCTTTCGGTAAATAGTGAATCAGTTTCTGAATTCTAAAGAATGCTATCTGCACGAGCTCTGACCCCCAGAAGGCAGACTGTGCCATGACTGTGCCATACAGACCTTTTTACATCTTCTGCAGGTACCTCCTGGTGGGCCTCATCAAAAGCAATGATGTTTACTTGGGTTTCATCAGTGCTGCTCCTTGAATTTCTGTCAGACTCCTTGGAATAAATATTGAGCACATATACATTCCATCCAAGTTTCTCTTCCAGGACCCTGACATCATATGAAGAAAATATTTTTAATTAACTGGGCAATGACAGATTCTTTTACTCTGGAAATTAAATGATGTAGTGTTTAATACAACACTTGGCAGATATTAATTGATATTAATAAAAATACCTTGGCAAGTATTTTGATTAAGCATGTAAAAATGCAGGATTATCATCAGCAAAGGAATTAAGCTATTAGTCCAAAATTGTTGAGTGATTGAGTAACAGAGGAAAAAAAATATCTATAGATTATTATAAACACTAAAGGTAGGGAGGAGGGAAATTTAGTCTCATAATCCTCATTGTTTTCTCCTCTTGTTCCAGAGATTTTGTGCTGGATGGGACCTGTGGCCCAGTTAATCCATCATTCTGGTAGCAGTCAGCACCAGCTGCTTCCAAGGAAGTTTTCCATTTCATTTTTACCAACA